AAATTTTAAAAAATTTTAAAAAACCCTGAATGTCTGTGTACACCGCCCCTCAATTTTTTTTTTGTATATATAATGCTAAACAACAATGTGATGGTATGAGGAGTTGGGTCCTTGGGGTTGGTTAGATCACGAGGGTGGAGTCCCCAGGAATGGGATTGGTACCCTCATAAAACAGGCTCAGCGAGCCCCGCTTCCGCCCAGAACACAGCAGCTCGGAGGCAGGGACCCGGTTCTCTCCAAACACCAGACACATGGAGCCGGGATCTTGGACTTCCAGCCTCCAGAACTGAAAAAAATAAATTTCAGTCGTTTTAACGTCGCCCTGTCTGCGGTGTTGCCATGCAGCCCCAGCTGACGAAGGCGGTCACACAGGAAATACAGGGTGGACTAGTCAGGGCTGGACTCAAATGTTTGCCTCCAAACCCGCTGCTTTCAAAGGCTTTGTCCAAACGAAACTCCTAGGAGCGCCTTTCCGTTAGCCTGTCTTGGGGAGCTCTGTGCTGTCTGCGAGTAGAGGGAAGGCTTCCTCATTCTGCGTGCTGGGGTGCGGGTGTTCTTGCTTCGGGGCCGCAGTTTCCCCTCACGGGGAATCCGAGAGGCAGCCGCGGACTCGCGAAGGAGGACCATAGGTGGGGAAGACTACGCACTCACCCCTCAGGCCTTGCTACCACCCTGGCCCCGACCGCTGAGGTGCGCGTGCCCACCCGCGCGGCGCCACCTCTCAACACCCTTCCCAACAGCCCCCGAGCGCTGGACGCTGCCTCAGTGTCGAGCGGACACAGCAGAGGAGGGACATTCGTGGCTACCCGGCGGGTGGGAGGTCCCGCAGGCTGCCCGCAGCTCTCTGCGCATGCGCGGACACACCCCAGAGCCCAGTTTTCTCCCCTCGGTCCTCTCAGCGCTTGGGGCGCACGGCCCTCCTTCGACTTTCAGTATTGAGTATATAGAATTCTGGACATGCCCTTTCATTTATGCAATGGATGTGAGTACCTCAGTCACTGTGTTTGCCTCATCGTAGTGCATCCTCGCCCCGCCCCGCCATAGGCTTCAGTGTGGTAGTGGCAGGAATTCCAGGGAAGCGCAAGTGTCCACCTTCTCCCTAGGGTATGGCCTCGGTTAGCGGGCACTTCCAGGGGTGCAGGCACAGCGGCGTGCCAACCCGCTAGGCTTGTAGTCCCAGCCCAACTCTGTCTGACAAGAAGGTTGTCAAGTCCTAGAATACATGTCTTCCACCCCCGGGCTTCACCTGGCCTGAAATGCCTTCCTTCTTTTCTGCCAAGGTAGCTTGATGGTTTGGAGTATACTTCTGGAGTCTGACTTCAACGGCAGATCCCATTTCCTCTGCTGACTTGCTGGGTGACCTTGTACAAAGCCCTACACTTCTCAGATCCTCAAATGGACAGAGAGGCTCATAACAACACCTACCTACCACAGAGGTTGTATAATTCAATGAGGTGATGCACACAAAATGCATGGTGCAGTACTTGGTGTAGTAAAATCAATAATCCGTTTTCATTGTTCTTATCATTATTAATTTTATACTTGGCCTTGGTTTATTCCCCTTCCTTCAGAAAAACCTTATCTAACCACTCCAAGTCAAAAATAATTTCTTTTCTTTAAATTATCAAAAGCTTTCGCTTTTCCTACTAGTGATTTGGTGGCTGGGACTGCCTAGCATCCTGGATTACCTTCCTGTATACATACTGTTTTATTTCCTTCCTTCAAGGATAAGAATCTTAAAGAAAAGACCTAAGCCTAAGTCGTCTTACGCATGTGGCTCTTAGTGTGACCGAGGCCGTTACCTCTTGTCCTGAGGACTTTTCCTTTTTAAAGGCGAGGTTAGATGAGTTACTTACACTTAGAGAAAATTGTGCAGTTTAAGAAATCCATGGCCTGGGATCTGAGGGTGGGAGTAGGAGGGAGGTTGAGAAACGAGACTCCAGATGGGGACAGAATCGAAAGAAAAATGTTTTTTAGACAACTTCCTCCTTTCACCTAATATCTCCTAGCAGAGGAAATAATTTAATAAAATGGAGAGCCCCGCCAGCGTTTGCCTCTATCTACCCTGTCTCCTTCCCAAGCAGGACGACAGAGACAGCAAATAGAGAAATTGGTGGGAGGAGAGCAGATGGAGTGCCAAAACCCCTCGCAAGGACAATGAGTACAGCTAATTACAGGAATTGAGAAAAGGGACCCAAGAATACTAACTCGCAGCCCACCGCTTCACCTAAAATCCTGGGGAAGCGGTGGTTAGAGGGGACCCAGCAAACACCGCTGGTGGTGGAGGAGGGCGGAGACCGGCGTTGCTCCGCCCCCGTAGCTACGAGGTAACCAGTAGGCGGCACCGCAGAGCGGTGCACGTTCATATAGGGCGCAGCTCTGCGAACCCGGATAGTTGTACTCCGGCTGAGTTCAGAAGGAAGGCGGAGAGATGAGCTGGGCGCCAGCGTTCCTGAGTGCGGCCGAGGTGCAGAACCATCTTCGCAGCTCCAGCCTCCTCATCCCGCCCCTGGAGGCGGCTCTGGCCAACTTCTCCAGCGGTCTGGATGGAGGGGTCACGCAGCCGGTGCGCACCGTAGTGCCGGTGGCCAAGCACAACGGGTGAGTGAGGAAGGCCGGATGGAGAAACTGGAAAGGAGGAAGAGGAGGAGTGTGAAGGGAAGCAGGGGAGAAAACAAGAAAGGGCTTACCTAATCGCTGCTAACAGCAACCGTCACCTAATATGTGTCTCCTCACCGTGACAAGGGGACGCTTTATAGGCGTTACCTTGTTTAATTCAATACGCTCTCCTTATAGGTAGGTGTTCATGTAGTCATTGTACTGGTGGGAAAACTGAGACTCACAGAGGTTAAGCGACTTACCCGAGGTTATGAAGCTAGTAAGTGGGAGAACTGAAATGGTTTTTCTCATCCAGTGCCAGATTCATGAAGGTACTGTGCTTACTGCCTAAGGGAAGACCAGGGGAAGGGAGAGGGCCTCTAAGGCAGGGATGAGGAAGGAGAAAGGAAGGAGGAGAAAGGATGGTGCATGGGGACTTGACACCCCAGCATTGGTGGGAAGGGGTTGAAGCTTCTCCTTCTCTCCTTGTAGTTTCCTGGGGGTCATGCCCGTCTACAGTGCTGCAGAGGATGCCCTGACCACCAAGTTGGTCACCTTCTACGAGGGCCACAGCACCACCTCCAGTGTCCCGTCCCACCAGGCCACTGTGCTACTGTTTGAGCCAAGCAATGGCTCCCTTCTGGCGGTGAGCAACTCCCTGACTTGGGGTGGAGTGGGGCCCCTGGGCCCAGAGCCAGGCTGGGAAGTTACTCTCTGTGGGACGGGGGAAGTTTTAATTATGACCACACATGCCGCCCTCTGAGTGACTGGATACCAGTGATGGTGAAGGTTATCTGGGACCATGTGTCTGTTTCTAGGATTGCCTGAAGATGCATAACCCAGCACCAGAGCCCATTGCTGCTTCAAGTGTGTGACATTGTGGAAGTGACAATCTCATCATTCTTGTATATGTTCTCTTCCTATACCAGTTACTCCAAGTATATAGCTTGAACAAACCCAGTAGCCAAGGAAATGTTTATTTAGTGAATATCTATAACATGGAAGAAAAGGGGCGTTCTGTAATCCCTGGGAATCTTTTCTGAGGGTCTTTCCAGTGACTCGTTTAACATTTAATGATAGTATAAAAAAATAGTGGTAGCCCACATTTATTGAGCACTTTGTATATGTCAGGAACTCTTCTAAACACTTCACATGTATTGACTTTCTTAATACTTAGAACCACTCTATAAGATAAGTAATATTATTACCCTCATTTTGTAGATGAGGACACTGTGTCATAAGGAACTATGCCCAACTTACTCAGGTTTATGTAGTTAATAAGGCACATGGCTGGACTTCAGGCCTGCCTACTCTGTGTGAGTCCAGGACCTGTACTCTCTCACAACTATGCTCTGCTGCGTTTGTAACTGCCACTTGATGAGCACTTACTCTGTTCCAGGCAGGAGAAATTGATCTCATTCAATTTTGACAACATCTCTCTGTAGGAGTTTTTATTACACGCCCTCACCCAATTTCTGTTGACATCCCAGAGGCTCAGAGTAGTAGAGTCACTTTGTTTGAGGTCACACAGCAGTTTAGTAAAAGACCCAGGAATGCATGACTGTGGAGCTTGTACTCAACTCCTGTGCTCTGCACCCTTCAGGCTGGCTCTGATATTGGGCAGTTGACACCTCATTAGGGACAATCTCCTTCATTTCACCTGAACCTCCCCTGGACTCTTAGATCCTCCTTGTACTGAATTTTTGCCTCTCCAAGGAACGTGACTGTTCATTATTCCTCTGGGAAGAGTACCTAACTCTTCCCAACCTATACTCATCCAATGGAGATGACATCCATACTACCTACCAACTGTGGCTTCCCAGGAAAATGGGGCCAGCTCAGACTTTCCACCCAACTAAATGACAAGGCCTTAGATCCTTCCCGAATCTTCTCAGTAGTAAATGAGTTACTTCCTTGTCTGTAAAATGAGAATACTGATACCATCTGGTGAGGATCAACAGAGATGAGAAACTTACAAATGGGAACAGCGCAAAGGATGGTGCTTATGATCAACCAGGTATAATTCAGAGTTACCTGAGGAGTTGTGAATACAAGGATGTCTGGATCCCACTTTGAGGGAGTCAGACTTGGTTAAGGGTCGTGTCTGAGCATCTGTATCTTCACAAATCTCCCAAAATGCATGGCAAGAGTTGAGAGCCACTGAGGTAGAGTTTCATGGCCCTTGCACAGATGTCAGATGACTTATTCCTCAAGTTCCTCCTTAATTTGGTATTTTGAGAAGCTTAAGGCAAGAAAAGAAAATGGGTGATTCTTGAGGATTTGCCATGGGCTAGGTGTTTTCATGTATGCCAGTGCATTTATTCCTCACAAAAACCCTCTGAATGGCTGGCATTATCTTTGTTTTTGTTTGTTTGTTTGTTTGTTTGTTTTACAGGTGAGGGAACTAGTGCTTAGAGATAAAGATATTCATTCAAAGTATTCATTCTCCACTTCAATAGTAGATAGGGGTGGTCCTTTGCTTACACTCTGTCCTTTCCTCCAAGGTTATGGATGGAAATGTCATAACTGCAAAGAGAACAGCTGCAGTGTCTGCCATTGCCACCAAGGTAAGATTAGTGCTTGGCTGTGCTGTCAAGGTGAGCTGGTGGGTGGGGTTGTGTGTCAGTGTCTAACAGAGACATGAGGAACTTATTTTGGTCTTCCTTGGGACATAGCTGGAACTACATATGCCAAAATATGTGAGGTTAGGTGAGCTCAAGGCTTAGAAAACTGAGTGTGGAGTCTGGGGGAGGACACGAGGTCTGGGAAAGCTGGTTCATGAGGCCTAAGCAGGAAGGAAATGTGCTGATATAGGAGAGGGTTGAGGGTTATTAAGGTCTTCTAAATATAAGATGAGGAGGGAAGAATGTGAGGATTAACCGGGTTACTGTATAGGAAGGGAGTAGACTAAGTATGCACCTTGATGAACTGGTTTTTTAAAATTACTTGCAGACCCAACTCAGACCTAGATAATGAACAGGCTCCTTGAGAAATGTTTGCTGGTAACAGGGTCATGGCGGCTCTACTAGTATTGCCTTACAGTGGCAAAGATTCTGGTCTTTTTCAAAATAATTTCCAATCTATTGTTTTGACTTACCTTTGCATTTCGGTGAGGAAGGCAGAGCGAGCATTATTGGCCTCACTCAGTGCACAAGGAAATGGAGACTGTGATTTCCTGAAGTTGCAGACCAGGTAGCTGAGGTCTTCCGAGGCTGCCTGATCTTCTCGTCCCAGACTGGCAGTTTCCAACCCAAGCTATGCAGCAGCAGCATCTGGGGATTTTTTTTTTTTTAATTCAGATTCCCAAAACCACTGAATCAAAATCTCTGAGGGTGGAGTCCAAGAACTTAGTTTTTTTTTTTTTCTTCAATAATCCCTGGTTGATTCTGATGATCAACCAGGTTTGGGAACCAAAGCGTTCTAGACCCAAGTCTCAATTACACTGTGCTTTGCTGCACTGATAAAAACCTGCCCTCCCAGAAGAGAGGAGGCTCGCTGGGCTGATGGGTTAGAGTGTAGGTTGAAACCTCACAGCATTTTTCCCAGGGGCTCAGATGGGTTGTTCTATAGGGAACAAAGGGTCTGTTTTACTTTTGTTCTGTAAGAGTAGAATGTTTTCTTTCTCACCACTTCTCTTTCATTCAGGGCTTTTAGGAGGAAGAAGAGAAAAATAGTAAGTTCTCAGGTCTGACGGACACTATAACTTCTTTGTATTTGGGTTGCACAGAACCTGAGCTGGGGACTCTGACATGCTTTCTCAAGGTGGCAATATATATCAGAGTTTATCCCTGGCTTACATTTATTCAAAAAATATTTGAGTGCCCACCAGGTGCTCAGCATGGGGCATAGAATGGTGAGCAAAACCATATACAGTGCCTACCATCATGGAGCAGAGTCTATTACAGGTAATAGTAGATATGTGCCAATTCTGTGCAAATAGACTGTTCTGTCCTCATGGGGTATATAGACCAGTTAAAGAAACTAAATCTGTAAAAAAATAATTGCTATGAAGTGGTGAACTCTATCAGGGAGGTCAGAAAGACTTCACACAGAGAGGTGACACTGCATAAGATAATTATAGAATTCCACTCAAATGCAGACACACATACGCCCTCAGTCAGTGCCACAAATTCCAGCTCTACATTCCTCTTTAAAGGAAGACAGGCTGAGAAAGGATCAACAGAGAGGGAGCTGAGCAAATGTAGCTGGGAACTGGGGTCGCAAGGACTCATGGATTCCAGGCAGCTCTCAGGGCTCTGAGAAGTGGGTGTGGCTTATCACGTCCCCAAGATGGGGTAGCACAGGATAAAAGAACGTGGGCTTTGGAGAATGAAAGATTTGGTTTTAGAGCCCCACTGTGCTACATGATAGGTGTAAGATCCCGAGCAAGTTACTTAACCTCTCTGGACCACAATTTCTTCTTTCATAAGAGGAAAATAGCAATAGGAGCGTCTCAGACAGTCACTGTCTAGACTAAACGAGATCATGCAAGTAAAGCATTGGCATATAGTAGGTGCTCAGGGAAGGCTCCTTCCTTCCCTCCCCACTCTACAGAGGGGAACAGAAATACAAAATGACATCTCCTCAATAGCCCAAGAATTGATTTTTTTTCTTAAATATATTTATCATACAACATTGTATAAATTTAAAGGGTACAACATGTTAACTTAGTACATTCATATATGATGTGCTCATGGATTCCAGGCAGCTCTCAGGGCTCTGAGAAAAGGGTATAATATGATTGCCACTGTTGTGACAATTAGCATCTCTATCATGTTATATAATTATTATTTCTTTTTAGTGGTTGGAATAATTAAGTTCTAATCTCAGCAAGTTTGCTGATTATAATACAATATTGTTGTCTGTGTCCATTATACCATGCATTAGATTTTTAGGGCTTAATCTAAAAAATCCAAATTCATGAAAGCAGAGTAAAATGGTGGCTACCAGGGGTTGGGGGTGGGAAGATAGGACAGATGTTGCCTCAGAGTTCTTGAGGGAACTGAAAATAGAGCAGAAGTCACCTGATAATCAAACTGTATTTGTTCTTTACCCAGCTGCTGATGTCTCCCTTGACTTTTTCCATCTCATTTCTCAAATAGTTTTTGAAACCTCCCAGCAGTGAAGTGTTGTGCATCCTCGGGGCTGGGGTCCAGGCCTATAGCCATTATGAGATCTTCACAGAGCAGTTCTCCTTTAAGGAGGTGAGTCCAGGGAGAGGTGTGTAGCAGAGGGGAGCTAGCTGCCATGACTTGTGACCTTTGTCTATACTTCACTGCAACACGGGTTATGCTGACATAATTAGGTCAAGAGTCCCATCTAAACCATCCTTTTGATGACTTTCTCAGAAGTCCTGTTGCAGGTAAAGAGTGAGGAGAAGGCCTGATTCACCTGTTTCCAGTTTCTCAGTTCACAGGGTTTGCCTGAGGACATAGCCTGCCCACTCAGTTAGTTAAAGGATCATATTATATCCATTATCTATGTTCAGTTGTCCTTTTGACCCCTCTCGGTGCTTCTCTTAGGCAAATCCAGGAACTTTAATTATTCGGAGTATGGATCCCCAAACTGGAAACCAAGCCTAGAGAGCAAGAGGCCACAGCACCCACTCCTGCAGTCCAGATGCTGGCCCACCTTTCCCCAATCATCTCCTGCTTCCTATGGGACTGTCTGATTGATGCTGCTTTTATTTCATTTTTGTACAAGTGTGAGAAGCCTAAAGTATGATTTTTTAGGATAAAAATAATACCTCTGCTTTGGGGAATATAAACAGTAGAGAAGAATATGAAAGAAAAAATGCCCTTTTATCTGTTTTCAAAGACAACAGTTCACATTTTCCAATCTTTTCTCATCAACTTTTTATAAGATAGTTTTAATCATGTTAGTTATATACAGTTGTATATCCTATTTCTTCATTGAATGTACTATCATCATTTTCCCAGATTATTGAATTTTTGTATAATATTTGCATAGTTTTCTATCAAGAAGGGTGATATGGTTAACCATTCTTAGAACTGGCCATATTGTACTGGTTTTCACCTTGGCTGATAAACATCTTTAGACATAATATAGTTATTATAGTTCCTTATGAGAGATTGTCTAGGCCTTATTTTCAGCTGAAGGTTGACAACCCATACCACAGATGTGCAAATCAATTAAGCAAACTAGCAAGTTCCTACCTCCTGGTGAGGCCAATGACACCCCCACCCCCACTCCCACACCTTCTAGGATTCAAATGGTCTCTACTACTCTTGGGCTTTTCATCTGCTGCACCATTCACTCCTAAAATCCGTCTCATCTTTAATTCCCTGCATACCCTTCAGAGATCAAGTTATTTCATGCAAAGCACTGCCATAGTAATCCTGTTTGTGAAACCCATACCTGCTCTGACTTCTTTACAGGGTCTCAAACATAAAGTGTGAGTTTGATGATACCGAGTTTGCCCAGTTATCATTTGCATTTTACAGATGTGAAAATGCTGGCTATATAGGTTAAGTAACTCCAGGGTCAGTAAGTGAGAGAGCAAGTGTTAACTGTAAGCCCACCTAGCTTCAGAACTTGCTCTGCTCATCATTACACTGTATAGTGACTATTAAACTAGTGAGGCTGTGTGTCCTGGGATAGAACTGGAAAATAAAAGGGAGGAGGCCTAGAGAAAGGTCATTTTCAAATATTTGGCCAGGTCTGTGCCCAGATTAATGCTGTTCTCTTCTTCAAATGTCCATTCTCCCTAGGGGATGATTTAAATAAGAGCAGCCCTGATTCCAGAGTGTTCAGATTTCTCTTGGCACCCTGGGCTTGATCAAACATAAACAGCCTAACAATCATGGTGCCACTGTCCTCTTGTTACCCCCAATGAAGGTGAGGATATGGAATCGCACCAGAGAAAATGCTGAGAAGTTTGCGGACACAGTACAAGGAGAGGTACGGGTCTGTTCATCAGTCCAGGAGGCTGTGACAGATGCGGATGTGATCATCACAGTCACCATGGCAACAGAGCCCATTTTGTTTGGTGAATGGGTGAAGCTGGGGGCTCACATCAATGGTAAGCAGAGGGGCTTCATGAGCCATGAGTAGGTGGTAGCCAGACTCATCCCTAGGCTGGACCAGGGGGCTGTGTCTGTAGAGCTGTGTTTCTCATTCAAAATGCCTCAACTCTTTAAGTACCTCAGAAATATATGAGCCTTGAAAAACAATATTCACTCCAAAACATGAGAAAAAAGTTGCAAACCTGAAATTAATAAATATAACGTCTGTATAATGTAACATTATGGCAAATGATCAGTTCCAGCTCAGTTCTTAAATGTAATGAAGTTTAAATGACCAAGCCAAGTGACTCATTGTATTTTTAACATTGCAAATTATAAAATAACTTTTAAATTACAGCATAAAAGACACAATGTGACATGCAGATGCTTTTTAATATATGTGATTGGATAGGTGGAACTCTAAACATAAGAGATCCTGAGCCCTCTGATGATCCTCAGATAGCCCTAGGGATTGTAGCAAAAACTGGTCTGTATTAAATACTTACTATTGCAGGTACTGTTCTAAATTTTTTATTTGTATTATATCATTTAATCCTTACAACACCCTCATGAGGTAGGAGCTATTATTATCAAGACCCCCTTTTACAGGTGGGTAAAGCAAGGCATGGAGAGATTAAGTCACTCGCTAACTTGCCCACAGTCAGAGGTCCTTAGTGGCAGAGCTGGGATTTGAACTGAGGCACTCTACCCTCAGAGCCCAATAAGAGACTGGATTCTGGTGAGTGAGCAGGCAAAGATTAGAAGATTCAAACATGTTGTGGGTGCCTTATGTATTAGTGACAAGCACATGGTGTGACCTCAAAAGCTAAGATCTCTGCTCACATTGCCATACGAGCAGGCAAGAGCCAAGTATCAGGATTACGCATTTATTCACAAATGTTTATTGAGTCGCTACCATGAGCTAGGCACTGTTCTAGACACTGGGGTATCAGCATCCAGCACTCAAGGCTGCTGCTTTCCAGGTGCTTACATTCTCTTGAGAGGAGATAGATAGCAAATGAGTAAACAACTAGGTGAGCTGGATAGTTCCAGCTAAAGATAAGTTCTGTGAAGGAAACAAAACATGACATATTTGAGGAATGGGCCAAAGCAAATTGAAAGTCTGGGCCTGTGGGACTGGTGTTATGCTGTGGGTCAGAGGAGGGGGAGGTAGGAGGTGGCTTAGTGGGTAGGTTAGAGATGGGTAGGGTCTGGCTTTACAGACAGTGAGACCATTTCTGCAAGGACTTTGGAAATCAAGAGAAACCAATTCTTGGTGAAATTACAAGAGCTGAATCTTCAGCAAGACTGACATAATTATTTTTCAGCATAAAACAGCACGTATTTATTATCTCAGTGTGTCTGTGGTTCAGGAGTCCGGACATGGGTCAGCTGGCTCCTCTACTCACACAGGATGAATCAAGGTGTTATCTAGGCTGCAGTCTCACCTAGAGCTTAGAGGCCCCTTCCAGGCTCATGTGTTCATGGCAGGTTCCTTACATTGTACGATGAAGGGACCATATCTCTCCCTAGGAAGGGCTGACTTGTTTTTGAGTCAAGAAATCTCTTGTATTTTCCTGGCCTAAGGACAAAATTGGCTTATGTGTTCACAGAGACATCAACAATACTTAAGAAAACTGGGTCATAAGTACAGTCGACATGGTAACACCGAAGACAGATTTTACTTACTTTACAACTTGGCTGAGAGGCAGGCTTAATTCCAACCTCCCTCCACTTTCCTCAGCCTGCCCTGCACCTCGCCAGCCAGTATCTGACCCTTGTCCATTCTAGCTCCACTGGAGCAAAGCCAGAGCCAGGTCTGAATCAGGCGCCTCCCTTTGCTGCCCGAGTGGCCTCACACAATCCTTTGAGAACTCACCCTACTCAGAAAAACTTAGGGGAACAGAACCATGAGAAGAGGTGGCCTGAGAAGCTGGGAACTTTCCCACCAGCTTATGATTTATTTACAAGCTTCATTAGTTAGTCTTTTGTTCTGTAGAACTCCCCACACAAACAACCTTCAAAATGGACATTTTTACACCACTCTCTTTGAAAATTAGAGTAAGGGAGAACAGAAGGAGAGGGAATAAGTAGAGAAAACTGGACAGCATATAATGCTGCCTTATATTGTTGTAAGGCTTTATAGTGCTTTCCAAAGACTAGCTGGCATGAGTTGGATCCAGCAAACAGATGTGTTTTGTTTGGACCATAGAGTATTCTAAAAATCAAAAAATAACACATGCAAATAGATTTCCTACTTCCCTTTTTTTTAAAAAAAAGAGAATATCTAGCAGTGGACCTGAATTCTCACATGGCAACAACCAGCTGGAGCTTAACAATGCCCGTTCCCTTTAGAAGGCCGTGCTTTCTTCTGTGTGCCTGGGTTTCCACCATTTCCAGTCCAGCCCCTCTGACCAGCTTTGCTCATGTTCATTACCTGCCTGACCCTGCAGGCGTTTGATTGCAGCCTCTGCATTATCCTTTGTGCCACTGCCAGGATTCAGTGTTGTGATTCGGGGCTCTGCAGAGGATATGAAAGCTCGGCTCCAGGATGGAGCTGGTTTTCTTTTTGTTGGATTTTCTCCAAGACCCTGACACTGAGCTCTTTTGTCACAGTTAAGAGAGAAGTGGTTGGGGGTGTGGAATGGGAATGATGAATGGCAAGCAGACAGAAAGAAAGTAGAGGGGTGTGGAGTATGAAGGAGCTGCAAGTGATGTCTCTGTTTCACGGTTTGGGTAAGAAAGTCACTGCCCCTGATAAGTGGAAGAAGCATGAAAGGCATGGCACTCTCAGAGCTATGGATGCATGTATTCAATATATAACCTTGGCAAGAACCTGCATTCCTTTGAGCCTTAGTTGGTACATCTTTAAATGGAATCAGACATGAAGTGTACTTGCAGGGACTATAAATAATATGTGTGAAACATCCCACAGACAGTAAGTCTCAATAAATGAATGCTAAGTTGCCTCCAAATCTTTTAGTAATGAGATGAGAAATGAAATAGAAAGGGGAAAATGACAGGCATTATTCTTGTTGATGAGTGTTCGGTCTTGCTGATGGAGAGGGGGTTGGCCTGGGGAAATGTGGCATTCCAAATCTGAACATTCCCACGTGTCTTATGTCATTATCTTTTCCTCACCCCTCTTCCATTCTTTGGTGCATTTAGTATCCCTTGTGACTATTTCTGAGCTCAAGGTCTGTTTTGCTGTTCCTTAGCCATCGGAGCCAGCAGACCTGACTGGAGAGAACTGGATGACAAACTCATGAAACAAGCTGTGCTGTACGTGGACTCCCGGGAGGCCGCCCTGAAAGAGTCTGGAGATGTCCTACTGTCAGGGGTGAGCATCTTCTCCTGGTAGATGCTGCCCAGCTGGCCTCACCAGGATCCTAGGCTTTCATTAACTTCCCCTTTTTTTTGGCCTGCTCCAGGCCTCGGTCAAACCCACTTCTTTGTGGGGTTACAGGTTCTAAACATCTCTCAATCCTTTCTAATACTCTTTCAAAATGATGTGACCATTTTGGTGGTGACATGTGTTCTCTTATCCCTTTTGCTTGGAGAGAAGCTTGTTGGGTTTTTCCATTGGACAGGGTTCTCTTATAAGAAGGTAGGATTGGGAGATGGGGGCTGGTTGTAGCCTGGAAACCTTTCGAATGTGGCCAACTAAATAGAACAATGGTTGGCCACTGTCTGGCCTTCTTTTTCTTTTGTAATCAGGGCATAGATGCAAGAAGGGGCTGCCACAATGAGTGTTGAGACCATGCCTATTTCCTCACTTACACAGTGTCCTGGCAGGACATGCCCCTGGCCACAAACTTGTACCTCTGCATTCATGTTGTCACAAGGGCAGATGGTATCCAAAAAGAATTCTAGGAAGAAGCATCCTCCTAACATCATCCAATGTATAAATGATCTATTTATCAGATTTATTCCTTATCCAATTCAGGGATGTCCTACCTATACAAGCTGGCCAGAGCAGACATGCGCTCCATGGCCTGGGTCAATGTGTGTTCATTTCACAGGCTGAGATCTTCGCTGAGCTGGGAGAAGTGGTGAAGGGAGTAAAGCCAGCCTACTGTGAGAAGACCACAGTGTTCAAATCTTTAGGTAAGGGTCATCGCTCCCAGGGCACAAATCCAACCAGAGCACAAGGCAGGTCCACTCGTCAGTGGGAAGAGGAATGAGTGACCAGGCTCCATGACTGAATCATTGTGAAATCCATCATCCATGCCAATTATTTACATATCTCAGCATAGTGATTAGCCCACGAACTCTGGAATTGGCAGTCCTGGGTTGGGTTCCCTGGACATGCATCCTTGGACAAGTGACCTCACATCTTCTTCACCATCTATTGCCTTGAGTTTTTGTGGGTATTAAGTGAGATGTTCATGTAAAACGATTTGCATACAGCAAGTGTCAGTAGTTTATCATTTAGACTTAGATCTCAATGAAACTCAGAAGCCGATATCCTCCAGAGGTAGGGGGTGGAGGATAAAAATATTCAAAGACAGGGAGCCTAAGAGAAATGCCAGGGAGACCAAACGTGAGAGAGATCCGGACAGAAAGCACAGCCCAAGACCTCTTTTTCCCATCCTTACCTACCCTCCGGCTTGCTGATTTGAGCAGGGCTTCCATGGGAAGCCCCGTTACCATCCGATTTGGTAGAGGCAGAAGTCCAACTAGGAATGGACTTGGTCTGCCCCTGAGTCCAGCTCACCCACCCCACCAGATTTAAGGAAAGGGACATAGAACGCTGCACAGCAGATATGCCTGAAATAATGAAATACTGCCTAACTAGCTGGTAAATAAGTTGCTGCTCCTCAAGCATGTCTCTCTCTAAAGATCTTTCATATTTCCCATAGTCAAGTCCCCAAATTGCCACTCGGCACCCATGCCAATTGGTCAATATCCATGCCTTACTGGCTGTCAAATAGTTTTAAAACCTCTCATGCACAGAGAGACAGGCCAAGGTAGTTTAAGCTTTACCCAAAGCCTGGTTGAAAGAAAGTTGCAGAGTTCATAGCATGTCAGAGGTCAGCCAAGCCCTTCAGGAGACAGAACATTACAGAAACCTGCTCAACCCTTTTGAGCAATTTTTGTTTTCTCACTTTTGGCACATCCTTCCACTTGGCAAACATATATTGAGCACCTATCTTGTGTCAGGTTCCACATTGGGTGCAGTAGTGGCTACAAAAATTAATAAAAACCAGCCCCTGCCCTTTGAGAACATATTCCATTCAAGGCTAAGGTATGCATCCTCGACAGTAAGTCACAGTGGGGTTGCTAAAGGATGCAGAGTTGGGACTAGAGCAACCCAGCCCATCACCTATTTTCATAGAAGTGATTTTTTACATTTTCAAATCTTTTGGGGGGAAAAAAACCAAAAGAACAGTAAGATTTTATGACACATGAACAATATATGAAATTCAAACTTCAATGTCCACAAAGAAAGGTCGATAGGAATATGGCTAGGCTTATTTGTTTATCTATCATCCATGCTGCTTCTGCATTACAACGGCAGAAGTGAATAGTTACAACAGAGACCGCATGGCCTCCAAAGCCTAAAATATTTACCAACTGGCCCTTTACAGAAAGTTTTCTGACCCCCGAACTAAACTTGAAGGACACTTAAAATTTGTGTGGTGGGTATTTCTTGCTTAGCATCATATTCCCTGCCTTGTCCTGCCCTTTGTAGACCCTCCAAGCCCGAGCTCACCTGGGTATCAGTCTTTGGTACCTGGATAGGCATTAGCATGGAGAATGTATCAGAAAACTGCCAGTTCCAAGTCCTGGGCTTTTTTAGGAAAAGTTGTTCTGACAAAAAATAGTGAACTGAGTTTCTGTCCATTCCAGGAATGGCGGTGGAGGACATGGTTGCAGCTAAACTAGTGTACGATTCCTGGTCGTCTGGTAAATAAAATGAAGGAACTTTGTTTTTAGGTGGATTCTACAGCTCAAGCGGTATTACTGCCAGTTTTATCATAATTTCTAGATCAAATGAAGGAGCCCAGTCCACAGGGAGCTATAGTCTTGTGCTTACCACGTCTTGCTGTAAATCACCAGATCCCCATTTGTGTTTGTAGATGGAAAGCAAAGCTAGGGACCATGCTTTCTGTTATACCAGATTATAGTAGTATTCCCTTTCCTCTGTATTTCACTGGCTTTTGTAATTCCTGAAAATAAAGCACTTTTCAATTGTGCAGTTCTTGCTTCGATAACTCTATCCTATCCCTCATGACAAGGAAAGTGAGGGGATCGAGCATTCTCATTCACTCCCTGGTGGGGGCCTCCAATGACTATATTCTATTTTTTCTAAATTGAGGTACGATTTGCGTACCATAAAATTCAGGAGTCGTGAAACCGTCATTCCAGAACATTTTCATCACCCCAAAGGAAACCCTATACCCATTAGCAGTCACTCCCTTTTTCCCCTTCTTCCTAGCCCCTGGAAACCACTAATCTACTTTCTATCTTTATGAATACATTTCGGAGACACGGCATTGTATGTTATGTAACCTTCTGTTTCTGGCTTCTTATAATTAAAGTTTCAAGGAACAACGGAACTTATATATTGGTCAAGACTTCTTTGGTCACAAGTAGTGGAGACCACAACTCAAACTACCTTAAGCTGAATGAGTAAATGAGTGAGAAATGGGATTTGTTGGCTCTTGAAATTAAGAAGTACGCGGGTAACCAACCAGTTTTGGCTACAGCTGTACTCAAGGGTTCCCAGTGCCAGCAGGACCCAGCCTTGCCTTCTCCACCCCTTGGCTATTTTCTTTAGCATTGGCTCCAGGATCAAGCAGGCATTCCCTCAGTAGTGACAGGATAGCTTCTGAATCTTTGTCCTCTCCAGCAACCCAAGCAGAAATAGAGATTGCTTTCCTTGACGGTTAAAAGTCCCAGAACTGAGACTCATGGGACCATCGTGTGCCCGTGCCTGTGCCTAATGTCATGGCTTCAGAGACAGGATACCCTCGCATGGGCTTCCATCGCAGCAAGGCAGCACCTGGCTTCTCTAGCAGTGGGAATAGGAGAGTTCCCAGGAGCGGGGACCCTTTAACTCACCCCTTTTGTTCCCTGATATATAAGACTCATGGTAACCCTGATTGTTTTGTTCATACGTTTTGAGCCAATCTTTGTGATAATTGCAGATAAAGTATTTACCCTTTAATTGAAATAACAGATGTTCAGAAATGGCAGAGAAGCCTGTGGAGTCTAGAAGCTGGAATAACCTAATTAAAATAAAATACAACTGTTAAAAACAGCGTAACTTCTAATAACCCATTCTGGCCTCAAAGAGGTTTATGTTATTCACCGTGATTACATAAAAGGATTGTGTTTGCTCCCTTCTTTTCAACCCATAAATTTGATGGAATTTTTATGTGAGGTTTTAAAATCAACATATCCTTTAAATTCACATCCCTTTATGTCATCACAGAATTGACATAAAGACCAAGAGGTTGGTCATAGTGAGAGCTTCTAGTTCTGCTGGGCAAATGTATCTTCCCCTTCCCATACTTTCTGAGCCCGTTGCTACCCCTCCAGCAGGGCAGCATGGAAGATTCCCACTAGGAATGATAAACTCCCATGAAGCAGTTAGAACTAAATCCTGAATTCTGGTAACATTTCCATAGGCTTGCCTTTTTTTGTTCTCTCAAAGAACACTTTTCCATTTCCATAACACTATATTTTATCCATCAAGTAGTAGTACTGATTTCCAGCTCAAAATTCTTTGTATTGCCTCACGCTGCCCCTTGTTTGCTAGAATACAGCACTGGGCTTTCCATATTACTTTTACCTGTGACAATGATGTACAAAGCTCTACTGTAAATCATCCTTTTTGGTAACAACAGTACTTCCCTCATGGCTTATACTTCTTCTATATCCTAGCAATGAGTGTCTGACCATCAGGTGGATTCTGGGGAATATATGGAGAGAAGATCCTGGCACCTCCAATAATGAAGTACTAATAGAAGCAGGCTCAGACACTACAAACTCTTTGTGAGTGCCTTCTATGTGCCAACTGTTTTCGTGCATATTATTGAAAGGAAATACAACTTTGGTTTATTCCAGACCAACAAAATGTAATATTTGTAAACATAATCATCCTCTAGTGCAATGTATTTATTTGATGACTGACAACCTTTCTGAATCCTACCACTGAGGAAGAATGAACCAACTGTTCATCAGATCTGAGCATCTGTATCCTCTCTAAGCTTATATCCTCCATAGTGCCTCTTGAAATAACACAGATGTGAATCGGGAAGAATGCTGGAGATAAACAGCTGTACATATATTATACACATAATCGATGGTAAATTCCACTTTATGTAAATCTGGCCATAAAAAGCCAATGAAGCTTAGCTGTTCAGTAGGGTTTCAATTTGAATTTGGCATTGCTAACTCAAAAAAATGTCAGCAGCAATGTTGCCAATTTATATGGTAGAACCTACATGTATTCAGACATGTAGCAATGGTGATAGACGACAGTGAATAAAAGATGGACACGTAACAAGCATGAAAATGTACTATTCACTTTTACAATCAAATTTTTCCTACAAATAACCTAGAGGCACTTACCTTTGGAAAAATCATCAAATGTGCCAAACTTTTTTTCTGTATTCTTTTACTCTTCCCCGACCTTCTTGCTTAGGCACTATGTTAATCTACTAGAGCTGCCATAACAAACTACCACAGACTGGGTGGCTTAACAACAGAGATTTGTTTTCTTATAGCTCTGAAGGCTGGAAGTCCAAGATCAAGGTGTTGGCAAATCTGGTTTCTCCCGAGGCCTTTCTCCTTGGCTTACAGATGACCACCTTCTTGCTGTGTCCTCACATGACCGTTTCTCTGTGCATATGCATCCCTGGCGTCTCTTCCTCTCATAAGAATACTGGTCCTATAGGATTTGGACCTCACCCTTATGACCTTATTCAACCTTCATCGCCTCTTGAATAAAGATTCTATCTCCAAATACAGTCACATTAGGGATTAGGGCTTCAGTGTACGAATTTGGTAGAACACAATTCACTCCAAAGTATGTAACCTATGTTCTATTTTTCTTCACTCTCCCTCTCTGTCTCTGTTCTCAGAAAGAGGTATTATAGACCCATTTCCATTACTGTAAATGTAAACATCTGTTAAAGGTTTAGACACATTTAAGTTGGGCATCAAGTTTCAGGCCACTGGACGACCTTTTCTCTCCACCAACAAAACATAAAGCAAAGGACATAACTGGAATTAGAATCCCCAGGCCACGAGAATCAGAAAGTAAGCAGCAGTGTGATGAGAGGTATAATTTTAAGTCCAGAATTGGAAAAGTTAAGAGATCTTTCCCTTCTTTGTCATCCATTTAACCCTTTCTATATTCAAAAATATTAAAAAGATAAATAAAAGGGAACACCATTTTTTAATTCCTGGGTCTCCCTGAGTTTCTCAACAGTGGTTTATTTGGATATGTATAGAGAATTTCTCAGAGTAGAGCTTGGACCTCTTCTTAAGTGGGCATCTTCAAAACCCTAGACACCACTCCCAGAGCTCTGGTACACGGTAGAGAGCAGGTGTGGACTGGAGTGCTTCCATTGAGCCACAGCATTACCCCCACCACTGCAGGCTCATCCTATTCACCCAACACTCCATCAGAGGCTGGTATCAACCAGTTGCCCAGGCTGTTGGAGCATCTGCTTCTTTCCATTTATGGCATTAAGAATTTTCTTCCTGGGCCCCACCTGCAACTGTATGCTCTGAAGGTCCTCATCAGAATAAAGCATCAGGACTTCTAGATCAATCTGCTCCCTCATAAAAAAGGGAAGGAATTCTTCCAGGTGGTGGGACTGCAAGAATACTTCCAGGGCAGTAGCATCGATGATATCTTCCTCCAACTCCACGGTATCCTCATCCTAAGGCAGATCGTCATCACAGCTGTCTTCCTCAACCTCTTCATCAGCCTTGGCATCATCAGCCTGAGCTGCTTCTTGTCTCTGAGGCAACTCACTGGACAGTTTAAACCACAACTCCCTCTTGCTGTCTGAAAAATATTCGGGGTTCGATATTCTGTTCTTTCTAAAGACAATATTTCATAGACCTGGACATTTGAAAATGGATTCGTATTGCATGCAGCTGTCCTCCTCGGCTGAGAACTGGAGCTTCTCTTTCAAGTCCCCCGACAATGAGTCTTCATCCTCCTCTCAGAAGACTTCCATCACATTCCTCTGCCCACTCTGGCTCTCCTTTCCTACCTGCTCCTCTGTGTCTTTATTCTTTTTGAACTTTATTTTGAAAGAGCCTTTAATGCCCTTAGACAGTGACCCAAATGTACTGGAAGCAGAAGCATGTGAAAGGGACGACCTGGAGAGAGTGCCCTTGGAAGAAGAAAGAGTCCCAGATTCCTCCTTGCTGTAAGTCCAGGCCATCTTATTTTGGTGCTTCTCCTGGAACCTTTTGCACTCATTGATTTGCCTTCTGGCATTCTCCTGAGCCTGCTCCTTCAGCTTGGTGACCTTCTTGGTGTTCATGATGTTCTGGGTGGTGGCAGTCTTGTCCAGGAGAACAACACATTCATTCTTCCCTCTGCTGGCAGCAGCATCCAGTGGAGACTCTAAGTCATTGTCCAAGGCAAAGATGTTGGCATAAAAGTTGATCAGGATGAGATACAGTGGGCATGACGATTTGAGGCTGTGTGATAGAGAGTATTTCTCCAGATGTCGCATCTATCAGGATCTCCTTTAGAAGAGAAAATATCAAAAATACACGCTATTTTTTTCTGAATGTGAGCCCTCCCCCCAAAAAATAAAGAACAAAATAAATGTTAATCCTGCCTTACCACTGTTATAACTTCTGAAAGTCCAGGTAAGTCACATCCAGACATCACCTGGCCAGAAACAGAAAAAGCCCATCTCTACACTAGATCTCATTTTTTAAAATAAACTTGTTTATTTAAATTAGTTTCAAGTTTACAGTGCATTGGTTAGACATCTATAATGTTCATAAAATGATCCCTCCAATTGCTCCCTCCCTCCTCTGGCCCTCCACTTAGCCATCATATTAATGCTAGCCGCATTCCCTCTGCCATGCTCCCCATCCCCGTGCCCAACCAGCAACTACTAATTTGTACTTATTTAAACCTTCACCCCATTCTCCCAGTCCCCCAATGCCCCTCCCCTCTGTCTGTCACCAAATTGTCCACTATATTTGTGAGTC